AGTCAGTTTTCAGTCCAAGGACAATCCAAATAACAAAGTCCAGTATCAAAAACAGTTTAGTAACAGACTTACATCAAATCCAAGAACTATGATCAGTCAATAGTCAATAAGGAACAGCAACACTCTCCAGAAAAAGACAACAGAACAACCCAGGTTTCTGGCTCCATCTTAAGGCCATTTGAGGAACCACACCCAATTACAGTTTTAGCATTCTCTTAAAGAGACAGTATTAAAATATCTATCCTGGTTTATATATTTTCCAACCCAACTAACTGTTAGGTGACTTACATTCCTAACAATGATGATGGTTTTATAATTGGAAAAAGAAACAATGATCTACATCAAGTTCAGTCAAAACTGAAGAAGCTTCTTGGGTGAGAAATGAAATATCTTCAGGCAAAAACAAAGAAAGTCCCGTTACCTTTTGAAAAAGCACCTTTGGGACCTCAGACTAGCACTTGATAGAACAGTCATGGGGCCTTGGAAAATATGTTCCAATGACGTAATGTGTTTATATTTACCAAGATCAGAATTGTGTGAGCTATGATATTTCCTGTAACACTCAGTGGAAGCGAAGATTGGACTTTAAAGAAGCAGGATAGGAAGAGTATTGACACCTTTGAATTTTCATGTTGGTAAAGACTTCTAAGAATTCTGTGGACAGACAAAAATAAATCAATGGTTCATCGAACAAATCAATCCAGAGGTCTCACCCCAGACCCAAATGATCAGGCTCAAATTATATACTTTAAAGGCATTGTATGAAGACAAAGTTCTCTGGAGAAGACTTAATCCTGAGAAAGGGTAAAGACAGAGAACAAGAGAACAAGCAACAAAATAAATGAATGCAGGGACAGATTGTCATGGAGAAAATCTTTATGGTAATTGGCAATTGACAACAACTTGTTAGCACATAATAAATTGTGAATAATGCCTGGAATGCTTGTTTGATAGATTTGCAATGCTACCTAAGCTGTTGAGCAACTGAAAAAGATTACAGTCCAGCATTTTTTTGTTTTAAGAGCCTTAGCACCAGTATTTTTGCACTCTGTACCAGTGATTAGAGTGCAGTACTGCAGGTTACTTCTGCTGCCTGCCGGCTGCCTGCAATTTGGCAGTTCAAATCTCACCAGGCTCAGGGTTGACTCAGCCTTCCATCTTTCTGAGGTGGGTAAAATGAGGAGCCAAAATTGTTGGGCCAATATGCTGATTCTATAAACTGCTTAGAGAGGGCTGTAACACACTGTAAAGCAGTACATAAGTCTAAGTGTTATTGCTAATGCTATATTGCTATAAATATCTTCAGTGGTTGGCATTGTTATATCATGTACTATAGCTACAGTTTAGTTAGAAAGATAAGAATGTCATCATTTATAAAATAGCCTATTGCTTTGGGCTAATTGGTTCATTGTTAATCATTGACAATGGATGCTCTGATTTTGTGTTAATAAAGGTTAAATGCTAAGCACACAATTTCATAATACGCAATTTTCTTAGTGATAAAAGGTATTTATATGGAACTGACTTTAAAATAATATCAGCAATTTGCAAACCTGCTGCAAAAATTCAGTTCTGTAAAGTTAGATACTAAGAGTGCCTTAAACTCAGCAGTAAAAATGCAATTTATATTTTATAACTTTATGGTCCAGTTCCAAACTATTGGGAAGTTATGTTGGAAGTGAATCAAAATTATCGTTAACTGACTCCTCTTTCAGTTGATATTTAGCAGAATAGTTGCATTGTTACTCAACTAAAATATACTTAAAACAAATGTCAGCATTTCTTTGTGACTTCATGTATTTATTGATATATTGCATACTTCAGCTGTATTTTAACTGAAAAATGACAGATACCATATCTAGCTAAAAACTGCAAGGGGAATTTAAATAGGTGGGATAAAATTACATAAATGAGAAATTGGCCTGAATATCAAGTTTACACCCTTCCCTTATAAAAGATGCCATTAAAAAACTGCTGAATAAATACCAAACTTTGCTTGACCTGAGTACACCATGTGGTTTGCCTTGTCCATATGTATTTAAAGCTACTAAAAACCTAAAAACGCAGCAAATGGACTGAAAATGTAGGTCTTGTTCCTTTGAAACATCTCTGTTGCTAAAGGTTGCCACCTTGTGAGCAGAGCAAAGAAGTATTCATGTTCGCCCCCTTTTTTAAGTAAGGGGGATAGAACAAGAACTGAAGTTGGAAGGAAGTAAATCTAATAGGTTAGATTTGTCACATCTTGAATCATTTGTGTATGCACAGAAAAACGGTGTAGTGGTTAAAGCATCAAGATAGAAACTGGGAGGCCATGAGTTCTAGCCACACCTTAGACCAGGGATCTCCAACCTTGGCAACTTCAAGACTTGTGGATTCAACTCCCAGAATCCTTGTTGGAGTCCAAAAGTCTTAAAGTTGCCAAGGTTGGAGGCTCCTGCCTTAGACAGCCAGGTAACCAGTAAGCAGTGATCAGCTATAGGAAGGAGACCACTTCTGAGAAACCTTGCCAACAAAACTGCAGGGATTTTTCCATGCAGCTGCCAGGATTCAAAAATTAACTTGATTGCACAAAAAATTGTAATAGACAAGTCTCATTAGAGCAAAACATTTATATAATTAAGTGACATTAATATTGTCATAGCACCACTAAAATAGGATGAGATGTTGGAATACCTAAATCTATTTTTTTAATTTTTATTTTGCTTTCTATAACTACTTTGTGACTTCGTTAACCATAAAATAAAAATAATAAAATAGATTTAGGTATTCCAACATCTCATCCTATTTTAGTGGTGCTATGACAATATTAATGTCACTTAATTATATAAATGTTTTGCTCTAATGAGACTCGTCTATTACCATTTTTAATTATAAGAACATTTTTTTTATCCTTCATTGTATTAATTTATTAATACATACATACAAATTTATGTTTATAATTTTTCATTGCTTTTTCTGTTGAACCAATTACCATATCTTTCCATAGAAATAATCATTTTTGAACAGTGCGTGTTTGAATAATCCGATCATTTCATAGGATTTCTTAACTGCACTAATCAAGACCTACCTGTACATTATAAGATATAGGGAGTCTTCAGCTTGCAATCGGAATAGGGACTGGAAAATTCACCAGTAAGCTGTACAGATGTAGGGCGACACATCATGGGACCATATTCAGTTTTACTACCTTTTTCAATTGGTCGTGAAGTGAGACATCATATAGTTACAACCTTCTACCTCCTTCCAGCTTCCTTATTGACTTGTTGGAAGCTTCTCTGGGAAGGTCAGAAATGATGTTCATATTACCACTGGATACTGCAATTGACAATAATCCAGGCTGATGGCTAAGCACTGAGTGTGACCATGGGGATTCTGCAATGATCATAAGTGTGAGGGCCAGTTTTAAGTCACTTCTTTCCAGCACCTCATAACTGCAAATAGTCACCAGACAAATGTTTGAACTGAGCCACTATCTTTGGTAAGGCAATATAATCTTTCTTACAGTACCAATTGCTGTAAGGTGAGCAGACAGTATCCCTTTACCCTCAAATCTTGCTTGTTGGCTTCTTAAAATACTTTATTAGTTATTGCATAGTAGAATGTTGGATTATATAACCCTTGATCAGCTCCTACAGGATTACTCTTACACTCATGAAGAGTTGATAATGATGGGCTGTTTTGCCAATGTTTCCTGTAATTTAATGAGATGTCAGAGCATTCTCAGATGTGTCTTTGTAGCCATATGGTATAGATTTAAAGCACACAAACATCTCACCTAAAGAGCATGGCAAATTAGAGAATTTATATAATTTAGAGGCATGTCTTCACCAGCCGTATATACCAGTGGAACTGTATGAGAGAAAATGTATAGTTACATTGGTGTAACAACACTGAAATATATCTGTGTAACTTATATTCTCTGTGTCTGTTTGTAAAGCACCAAAGTAAAATATAGTGTATTGTTTCAATCATGCCAATGCATATCAGTGGAGCTTTTTAATACTTCATATTTGTTTTAATGTATTTAAAGTTAGAATAAATCCAAGATTTCTGAATGCATTTTAGCAATCAGCTTAATTTTCCCTTAAACTGAAATGCACAGGATCTAGTCAATTTCTGAAGAGAGTAGAGGGGGCTATTCCAATGTAACCTTGTGGTTTCCTTTTATTTTCTTTGAAATCTTAGGCTATAGAATCAATATTTCTTGTTTAAAAAATATTCAGAAGGTCAAAAGCGGGTTAATAGTTTAATTTTGTTTCAAATGTAATATTACCTTTTGTCAATGGTTCATGAGAAGTTTAATAAATTAATTATGAGAAAACAAACATACCAATCAGACAGTCTGTTATTCAGGGCAACATTAATTAAAGAGAAAAAGTATATATATTAAATATACTTAATACTCTGATGATGTTAGCAGAGGCTGACAAAAGCTTAATAAGTATAATAAATATAATTTTAGTTCCGGAGATCACAAGATGTCTGTTTCTTCACATACATACATACATACATACATATTGTATACACATATACACACAGACAGACACAGACAAAATAAAATTCATTCATACGCAGAAAATTGAGAGAGTAAAGTATGAATGTTATGGTCACAATCCATTTCTTGCCTTTTCTTTTTTTGCTGACGCACTCCTCACCTCTGGTAATCATTTTAAAATGTTCAAACATTTTTAAATGTAAAGCTTAAAATTTTATTCCTTTATAATCAAATTTTGCTGAAGTATATTTCAAATGAATTCATTAATAAATAAGTGTTTGTAATTAATGCAACCTAGGGCTACCTTTGACTGTTGTACTTTATTTGCATTTTTTTTTTAAAGATACTTTTTTACTTTTGTTTTGCATAGTATGCTGGCCGCAGTAAGAAAGAAAACAAGTATTCACTGAAAGCTGTAGAAGACATGTTGGAGGCCCTACAGATCACTCAGTCATAAAGCTTAAGAGGGATGACCAGTGGTGATAGATCTTTTTCTCCGAGCTCTGTAACTGAAATTCTGTCCTCACAAACTTAAAAGTTTATTTTGAATGCCTCATTATGTTAACAGTGGTTTCATGTCAGTAAAAGTTGCTACAGTACCTTGAATGATACGTTTTATAAAAAAAATATAAGATTTCTATTTATTGTTTCTATGATGAAAAGTCACTGCAGTTAATAAAAATAGTAAATTCTATTGAACTTCAGTCTCTTCAGACCTTGTAGAGCAAATGTTTAAGCCATAACTTGATGTAAAAATAAATTAAGTGATAATGCAGGATTATTTATTGCACTTGTGGAAGTCTACAAGACTTGTGCAAAATAGAAATTGCCTATGGAACGTGAACTATGGATCAGACTTAAAAGTTCACCACAATGATCAAGTAATATTTACCTGGATATTTAGTTTTGCGCAACGCCGTTAGTATGACTGCAGTACTGATTTATAAAATGGTAGAAAAATGGTAAGTGCTTTGAACATTATGTATTAAGTACCACCTTTAAGTGAAACCTTATTGATGGAGTTACTTTCATGCTGCTGATTCTAATCTACCTGAAACAGCTCCTCCAATTTTTTAAATATAAAAATAATTTATTAAGCTTGCATGCCATCCAACTCACAAGAATAAAAAAAAAATTACTATTAAAACTAATTAAAGATAAAAGATGGCAAGAACAAAATAGAATTCAGTCATGCTGAACTGGCTTAAGTAGGAAATTTGTCTGCTGATTCTCTTCAAAATTGACCAGTTCTAGAGATTTTATTATGCTTCTCTCTGAAAATATGTAGAAAAATAAACTCATACATTGAATTTCTGCCATGGCCTTACTAATGGATTCCTACTTTACAACCTATTGTGTTTATTATTGATTCTGTTGCTGGCCTTGCAGTGCATAAGGTCATTAGGGAGAATAAATAATGCTGCTTTTCATTTGGAACTTTTGAAATAATGTGAAAAAGCATTTGTTTCCTTTCAGATTTTCTGAATTTGTGCATAACTTAAATATGTTTTCTATGGAGGGAGAAAAAGGGAGTTATATACAATATGCTGGTGTGGAAAAGTAATCACTGCCTTAAATTCATAACTATTTAGCTGCAATAACTACAACCACCCTTTTCTTATAACTTGCTTGTTGCATAGGAATTTTTGCCCATTTCTCCACAGCAAACAGCTTTACTTCATTTTTAAAAATGCCTTTGCTTTCACCACATTCTTTGTCCAAATGCCAATTTCCATGCAATAGGAACGTAGTTCAAAAGAATGAGCATCTGAGAGCGTCTCAAAATTGAGTTATCTCAAAATTGAGTTAATACACATAATAAATTCCAAAATGGATCTGTTGTGGGACACGGCAGGCAGCTGTCTAAATGGTATAGCTGCATTGCATCTCTTAACTTGATGATTCTGTCACTCAAGTCTTTCCTATGTAAATCCAGTGAATATGAAATGCTATTTTTGATTGAATAAATCTAAGATGCATTGAAGTGTTTGATACTGAATACCGGCATGTGACATGAGAATCTAGGCAAAGTCTTTATTCCATTCAATCAGTGTATTCATGTATTCATTACAACATAATTGATCAAAAGTAATTATGGGATGCTTGCTTGAAAGTTTCAAGCTATGTATTTCAAAGGCTGGAATTGGAACTCATCTCGAAATACAGTTTTTTTTAAAGGATTATTGTTTCATAGGGCCATTCAGTCATAAAAAATATTCAACATATCCCAGGGTCTGGAGGTGAATTATTGTCAAGGTGCAAAAACAGACATTTCCAAGTATGTTAAAGGACAACAGTTTCTTTATCTATGTCAGATGAAGTTCATCTTCCAACCTGTATTCAAATTGAAGGGTCAAAAGTTGTGTTTAAATTATAGTATATTTTAATTTTTTTCCAGCTTTAGATGTAAACATTAATAATAGGTATTAGAGTATGCATTTTAAACTTTTAGACTTTTACTGTATCCATATTTGTTTGAGAACAAATGATATGGGTTGTTTCTTTTTTAAAAAAAATGGATTAGAAATCAATTTGATATTTACATTAAAACACATTAATTTTAATTAATTACAAGTAGTCCTTGTTTAGTGACTGACTCATTTAATGATGATTTCCAGTAATAATGATGACAAAGTAACTTTGAGACAAGTTCTTGCACATACCCTCTGAGGGAGATGGGCAGTTAAGAAGTATGAAATATAAATTGAAAAAAATATGACTTCCGCAGGTCTGAGAGCAAACTGAAATCAAATGATAAGTACAGGTGTGGCTTTACTTAGAGAGCACTTCCCTTAGTTCCAGTTGTGCTTGCTAAATAAGGGCAAACATTTGTTCTTCAAATGTACTTTTCCAGGATTAATTAATACAATATAAGTGATGTGCTATTAATGGCAGATTTTAACTGCAAAAGTGCATTAAGACTGTTCCTTGTTAATTTAATTGTCTCATGACACCCTTTCTAAATTCTCTGTGTTGAGCTGAGGTTGTTATCACATCAGATTTTGGCACTTGTAGGGGGATAGGAAAACTGCTTCAGAAAACTAATCACCGGTTAAATAAGTGCATTCTATATTCCACTCCCCATCTCTTTTCCTGTTTAAACCACATAGTTTTGAGCATTTTGCTTTTTGAAGCATGTTTCATTTGGCCCTGACCTCATGATGAGGGTTAACTAAGGAAGGGAGAGGACTGTAATGATGCATTGGCAAGATTTTAAGTTATGACATAAATAATTTTTTAAAAAGGTATTTTCTGGCAGTATAAGGGGCAAGCCAGATTTTCTTGCTTGCACAGACAAAGGCTGGGTAGAAGTCTACAGAGTTAATTTTATCCAATAGATTTGGGTAGAAGTCTACAGAGTTAATTTTATCCAATAGATTTGTCCTGCACATAATCAGTATGCAGCTTGAATGAACATATATATTAATAAATAAAAATTACTGAATCAATGTGGGATGGACATTGGCATTCTTTTTTTTTTTTTTGTAAATTTTATTTGAGTTTTCACAAACAGAAAAAAAATACAAATAAAACATCTTTTTTGAAAGTAGCGTAATCCCGGGTTACATTTCTTCGTACAGACACAAATTCAAGTTCATGCTCATTTTTACATTCTATTCCATATCTTATTACTATTTTACATTTTCTGCATAGCTTCTCCCCTCTTTTAATTTTCTCAATTTTATTTTAATTATCTCATCTCAATTCAAATCATTATATTTGTATTTTTTTAAACAAGTTTTATTAATTTTCAAAACACACAAGTCATCATTATCCATTACATATTTAAACCTTTTTCCATTATAAATTTAACAAGTCAGATGAGCTATAATTCTGTTTTAAACCATTTCCATATAAACATACAAAAACCTCTTATCCATTTTCTCTTTATTTCTCTTTACTCTTATTCCATTTTATTATTATTATTTCATCTATTTCTTTCTGACTTAGTTACCATTATTCTCATTCTATATTTCTGCAAGGTTTCATTAATTCTCCCCCCCAAAAAAAGACATATATACACAACACACAAAACATAAAAAAAAATCTTTTTGGAAAGTAACTTGGACCCAGGTATCTCTTTCTTCATGGACTTCAACTGTATTCATGCTCATATTACATATCATTACTTATTTTATTTACCATTCTAAGTCTTCTATATTAACTTCTCCCCATATTTCACTCTTTTTAATTCTATCTTAATTAATCATCTTAATTTGAGTCCTTATATTTGTATCTTTTGTCCATTCTTTATTATACCTTTGTCTCATTCCTTATAAAAAAAAAGAAATTTCTCCTGAAATCACTAATCAGAGTATGATGCCTTTCTATCTCCCCACTAAATTAATCAAGTTAATCTTTAAAATAACACCCAATACCCAATCCGATTTTGCTTGGTACATTCTAACTGAATAATACATCCAGAATAATTAAATACATAGTTAAACAATAAATCTAAATATTAAAAACAAATACTATAATAAAAATTTTATAATAACATCAATACCATAATCTTATTAAACTCTTTAATTAAAGCTCAATATTCTAAATCTCCCCTCATATTATTAAATTTTAAAACCAATCATTATTAACATTTCAACATTTTAATCTCTTATCAACTCTTAAGCCATTTAAGTTTTCTATTTCTAATACAATACTACAATATCATCTTATGTACCTTGCAAAATCTCTTTGCAAAAATTATACTTATCCTTTATCCCTAAAAAAGATTCTTTTTTTCCCATTTAATTTCAAAACTTTGTAGCTTTTCTCCACCTTTTCCCTTTCTTTCTTCTCCCAACAAATCTTTCTACCCCCCCTTCTTCTAGCCTCTGCCTTGCTGGCTTCCCTTCTCTGTCGTTTTCCTCTTCCCTTTTGTTTACCATCATTATATTGATTTTGCACCTTATTTTTCCCTTTCTTAAATGTTTTTTTAAATCTTAAGTCCTTTATTTCTCTTCCTTTCCCTCTTCCTTCCCTCTTGGTCGAGTTCTGAGGTTTATTAAAGATGGCTTCCTCTCCTTCTTCTTCTTCTGCTGTCTTCATCTGTTGCAATGTTTGTTGATAGTTAATGAGCGCCATTTCCAAAAAAAGGCAGGCTTCTTTCAAACCAGCTTTACCATTTTTTTTTGCTTGCTCATAGTCCCTTCTCAGTTCCTCAATAGAAGGAGCCATTATAAATCTTTTCTTTTCTTTTCTCTTACAACAACCAAAATATTCCAAAGGAAAAATAAAACAATCCCAAAGTTATCAATCAGTCCAAACCAAGACAGGGTTCCCACTCTCTCCTCCTAGGGTAGTATCAATCAGAAAAAAAGAAAGTCCAAATCTATTTCTTAAAATCTTATTTCAATATATTTTAGTCTTTCAATCCTTAAGGCATCTCCTCCAACAAAGTCTTAGCATACAATTTTTTTTTTTTTAGTCCTCTCTTTTCCCACTCATCGCTTAGAGCCAGTTTTCACCTAAAAAAAAAAAAAATAGGTTTCTTAATATTCACTTTTTATTCCGTAGAAAAAGAGGGTAAGCTATCCTTTCAGCACCATCAAACTGCCGCTTTTTTCCTCTTCTCGAAGGTATCATTCAGAAAGTCATACTTTTCAGGAATTTTGTTAAATATGTCTTAGAGTCCTAGGAACCAAGAAAAACTTTCTCCTCTCAAGCACTTTCTCCACTTCCTCCTGCTCATTCTTACCCGGCTGCCAGCTTCTTTGTGGCGGCCATTACGGACCGCCGCTGCATCGTCCTGGGAAAAGGGGGTTCTGCCGGCCGGGGAGGGGGTCTGCAACACCCCCAAACCGCTCTCCGGATCCCCCCTACCTTCAGCTCCCCTGCAGGGCAGCCTAGCTCCGTACCCGTCCGGATCGGAGCCCCAAAAACGGCTAGCGCGGCAGGGATCGCGCAGCTTCGCAAATCCCTGCCGCTCGCGAAGCCGACAAACCGGAAGCCTCTCAATTCAAATCATTATATTTGTATTTTTTGTCTGTCCTGTTTCAATTATCTATTATCTTTTCTCATTAAACAAAATGTCTCCTGTAGTTACTGATTGGAGTATGACGCCTTTATATCTTTTAAGTTTATCCATTTAACTCTTATTTAGGCTTCAATATATACCCTAAAGTTATAACATTCAATATAATACATAACTTCCATTCGGATTCTGCTTGCTACATTCTTAAAATACACACTATATTCTTAAAAAAAGAAAACATTATAAATGTATGTAATTAAAACAACACATTCCATTCCAATTCAATTCTACCATTAATATTAATATTCATTAAAGTCTTAACATCTTTAATATTACTTTTCAATTAAATATCATACTTCCATGGGAACAATTATAAGCTTTCCATAATTAATTCCCCCCTCTTCACTTATATTTTATAAAACATTAACTAATTAAAATGTTCCCGTTCCTTCCTAATTCAATTTTCTCATTTATTTTATTTCACTTATTTTATTAACAAACATTTCACTAAATTACACTATTTTATCCCTCATTTTAATCATACATTGTTTCCAATTTTCTAAAGTTATTTCTATTACTAATATAACAGTACAATCTTATGTACCTTTACAGAATCCCTTTTTCAGTTAGATTTTCACCCATTATCTCTAAATAAGTCCTGTTTCTCTATATCTTGCTCCGGTCCTTTGTAACTTCTTTTCCTTTCCTTCTTCCCTCTCTTCTTCTCTCTCCCCTTTTTACCCCCTTGTCTCTCTACCTCTATTTCTCTCTTCTGTATTCCCCTTTTCTGTTGCTTTCCAGTATTTTACTTATTTTTCGAATTATTTTTCTTTTCTTTGGTTGTTTTTTTTAAATCTTAAATTCTCCATTGTCTTTCCCCCCTTTCCTTTTTCTTCCCCACATAAAATTACTTGTTCATTAAAGATGGCTTCTTCTTTGTCCCGGTCTTTTTCTTTTGCAGACGGTTCTTGTTGTTTCTCATAGTTCCAAATCTCCATTTCTAAGAATTGAAAAACGAAGCCAAAAGAACCCTTCCCTTCTTGTGCATCTTCTTTGTACTTTTTAAGTTCCATTTTCAATTCATCCAGAAGTGGTGCCATTGTATAAATTTTTAAACAACTACCCGATTAATTTTAGTCATTCAAATGTAATAACCAAGAATCCAAAGATCACCAAATAATCCAAATACACGCAAGCTGTTTCTTTTTGCTCTTTTTTTCACTTTCTCTTCTTGGGGTTACTATTTAGTTACAAATTTTCAGTTAAAATGTATCTTTTAGAAGTCTTGTTGAAGTTTTACTTTAGATTCTTTTTAATTCCAGGCAGTCTCCTTCGTCTTCCAGATCCTGCCCTTATTCTTTTTCTCTCCCTGCTTATGAAAAAAAATTTTTTTTAGTGTCCAGAAATCTTTATTATCCCTTTGGCATTTTATTTTATTTTCAGCTTAATTGCCTATTGATGTCAAAGCGGATT